ACCTCTTGCACGTGGTGCTGTTGAAAACATAGAGTAAGAAAGATTTGGAAGTCTTCAGACTTACAGATCTGCTCATCCATCTTCAAGAAAGATGAACTCAGAACTGCAGAGGCAGCTGCAAAAAGCATCGTGAGACAGCTGTTCTTGTTCAGCCTAGCAAAACGGAGCCTGAGAGAGCCTGAGTGCATTTGATGAATGCAACAAGTTGGGACGTAGCCAGGAGAGAGCATGGCTAACGGACAATGCTGGCACAAGTAGAAAGGAATAAACAGTGACTTCAAATACATTTAGACTGGAAATTAAAGGAAACTTTCTAACAATTAGAATGGGTCGTTTCTTGAACAGAATTGTAGTAGAAATAGCAGGAACAAAAAATGGAGCTGGTTAAATCTGAAGTTTATGAAAGGATTTGTATGAGTTCACCACCTGCACGGGCACAGTCACTGAGTCCAAAAAAAGAGACAAAAGACACCTTGTCTTGCCTGTGTTTCTGAATGACAGCTTCCTGTGTTTTGATTAATCAAAACACAGCACTCTGTATAAGCTGGAAGGGAAACTCATGATTCTTACTGAGTTTTGTTTTGCAGGGAGTCATCCTGCAAAAGACAACAAATACATTATTTCCAGCTTCCATTTTACACGGTGTTACCTTACTGAGTTGTGCTCGTCTTCAAGGGGAAGGATGCTTTGCAGTTGATGTAGACCATATGCTTGTGCTGCAGCTCTCCTGGTTTTCCCGTGAGCTTGCTTCAGGTCACTGCTCTAGCTGTAGAGACAAAAATAGCAGTACAGTATGACATAATCCTGGAGTAGAAAAGCTTTGGCCTTCGGTTCCTTAGAAGTTCACAAAAGTAAAGAAAAAAATTCTTATATTATACAACCCAGTTGTGTACAGCTTCTGAAACTGCCCAGCATTTTCATAGGTCCATTTGGTCCAGAGTTTGCAAAAGGTCCCACGTTTAGCTCCCAGACTAAGTCATCTGATTTTTGAGTGCATAAGGCACACTGGCATCCCCCTGAAAGTCTTTGATACTTGATGAGTCCCCACAAGAGCTATTGTGTACAGAGTACTTTGTACCCCTGACTGTCATTTAGGTGTTTATATCAGAACACAGCTTTCTTAAGAGTCTGCCTAGCACCAATCGCAAGTTCTGGGAACAGGAAAATCTGGTCTCAAAGTGAGCTTTCTTGAAAATCTGGCCTTTGGAAAATTTGTTCTAAACATAAACATATTATTGATCCAAATCCTTAATGAGACATTAACATTTGCTTTGCTTTCCTATTTAAAGAGTAATTTATAGGCAGATTGGTTTTACAGCAGATGTCTTGATCAAAGCAGCAGTGAATAAAAGATATTCCTATCTGATGGTCTTTTGGAGACCTGTTCTTAAAAGGTCAGTTCATGATGAACAGATGTCTACATTAGGATAAACAACTGCAATAAAAACACATTGCAGCTGGTACTGAGGTAGCTGGGGGATTGGCTTGAACAAATAGATGGGTCTGAACTGATAAAGATGCCTCCTTGTTTTGGCAAAAGACGCAGAAGAAAGAGCAGGCATGAAGACCAAGGGTCCATATTCAAGCAGAATTATGTTACGGAGGAACAATTACAACATAATTATATCTTGAGCCATGTACAGACATCAGACCATCCCTGTCACTGTTCAAGATCAAGCCACTAATGCCGTTATTAGTTATTTGTATTACTACAGTACTTGGGTCCATATTCAAGCAGAATTATGTTACGGAGGAACAATTACAACATAATTATATCTTGAGCCATGCACAGACATCCGACCATCCCTGTCACTGTTCAAGATCAAGCCACTAATGCCGTTATTAGTTATTTGTATTAACGTATATACCAGGAATTTATTGTAGTGTCATAACATAAATGCAGAAAAACACAAAAAAAGTTCCAATGGACTTAGAGTAAAAGAGAAGACACTGCGATTAGGCACTGCAAAACAAGAGGGGACCAGACCAGGATAACAAGCACAATGCCAGCAGCCTAAAAATTGTTAGGTTTGGCATCACAGGAGAGGGGAATTTGAGGGACGACAATCCGTAAGTGTTCACAAAGCCTGAGGGGCAGCAGAGGAAAAGCAGTGAAAAACATCTGCTTCAGACCTTGGCTTGCCACTGGCAAAAGTTGGCATAATGGGCTGGTCGGGTAGGAACTGGAAATCTGTATCTCAAGAGTAAATGGGCAGCAGTAGTTTGGGCAAGATCAGACTGACACTGGGGGAAGTCAAGTTTTTATCTGACGAGATAAAAAAAGTGAAGCTAACAAAGATAAAAATGACAAAGCTAATAAGATGCCAACAACTCTTCACCACAGCTTTCCTCATGGCTATGAGCAAAAAGATTCACTGGTCAAGGCGAAGAAAAGGGCATGTGCGTAATCAAGGGCAGTCAAGACTCGATGAGAGCTGTCACTGTCTAAGCAGATAGGACACTGCTGTGCAGGAGTCTGCCAGTCTTTGGTATGATGTATGTAACAACATGGAAAGAGCTGTCCTAGACAAAGATGATATGCCAGTGATGGCAAAATATTTCAGTTAAAATCAATTTATATAAAAATTGCCAGTTTTAATCACAACTGAAGTCTGCAAGCAAGAACTTTGAAGTGAATGAACTGTTCCAATTTTGGTTTTCATTCAGAGTTTTTAGTTATTTCTCGAGAGAAAATTTGAAAATTATTAGTTGTTTTTCACTCAGATGTGTTTATTTGCAGCTAAGTAGAACTTCAGCCTTTCATTTTGTACTTTTTTTCCTGAGTCAGAAGATAAATTCTAATACACATTATTTAATCAGTTATATAGTTTAATGTAGATTGACTGAGGTTCTAAATAATTGCACTTTATAATAAGGTGAATGGTGTATTTCTTTTTATTAGCTTATTACTCTCTTTTTAATATTTTCTCCACTGATATGACAGGAAATTAAACACAGTAATGGTGCATAAGTAAACAAGTTTTAAATTATTTCTTATTAATAAATAAAATTATAGCATGCTGGACCTATAAGTAAAAGGTATATCAAAGAATTGTTTATACCTAAAATTGTTTCTGATCATCATGTTCTTCAAGATCTTCAGCATACAAAACCTTATCTTCTATTGTCTGTTACTAATGGAATTAAAATTTCAAAATGTCCTGCTTTTTCAGAATTAAATCAGTTTTTCAACTTTGAATGAAGGTAGGTAGAATTTCACAAGGAGATGCTTTTTGCTATAAAGGAGGAGAGCAAAATGTAACAAATATGCATGTTTCTTTATTCTTCCAAAGTCTTTCTCTCATCCCAAGTTCTTTCTCTGGAAAACAAAGAGCAACACAAGAATATGTTTGAAAGCTGTAAAATGTTGCTATGGAATGTTTCTTAGAAAACATTAGCAAAACCATATTAGTTTATAATGGGCTGGAAAGAAAGGAGGAAGACACTGGACAGTTAATGTTAATCCGTTCGGTTCATGAAGAGACATACGTGTGCATGTTGCTTTTAATAGCTGCAGGTGATGCATTAGGTTCATGCAAACAAGCCTTAAGCTAGAGGCTGAAAAGGCTTTGTTTCTGAGACAAAGAATGTCATTGTCGAACACATTGTTTGTTTTTCATCTACTAGTCTTAAAATGAAGAAATGCTGCTTGAGAATCTTTTATGTGGGAAGAAGGAGAGCAGGGAACAGACAGGAGACCCAGGAATGGCTGTTTAATGTGTTAAGAGTGAGGCTCTAATAGGAGCATGCTGCAAGAAAGTAATTGGTTTCCTCTCGAGTGTTAAAAGCACTGTTAGAAGTCCTTGCAATATTTGCTAGGCTCCTTTCTTACCCAGCCATGCAAATAATTCCTATATGGTTCTGATGGTATGCTCTTGCCTTTATAACATCCTTTTTCTGGAAGGTTTAGGAAGGCTCTCTTGGGACTGAATGGGCACAGAGTAATTGAATAGATGAAGATTCCCACCTGGGAACAGCTAGTCTTACAGCCATAATGATTATGTTACAAAATTTTATATTGACTATAAATGGCTCGTCTACATTAACGTCACAGTTGGCATTAGGTGTGTGCTTTTGAAGTGAATTTCCTGGTCATCCCCATGTAGACTTCTCTGGTTTGCAGAGCACACATTTCTTTTGGATGAAGGTAAGCCAAAAGATGCATTCAGGAACTTGGGTTCCCACCAATACATGGTGTCATGCAATCTACAGAACTAGCCTGAAGGTCATCCAAAGTCAGGTCTCCTGAAATGCATCTTGTGGACATTGGGTCCTCAGTGCTACCTCTTTCACTCTACAGAGCCATTGCTGTTGCACAATACAATGTAGATAGAGTCCAAATTCTGCTTGACTAAGGAACCGCTGATTCTTTGATGTGCAGCCTTGTAGCAGTACCCAGACAGCTGGCAGGAGAGGAGGGCATTCCCATGGCATATGATATCCTATTTGATTTAACTTCATCTCTTTCTGAAGAGTAGAAATACCCTGGGGAAGATACCCAAAATAAAGTTGCTATGAGCAAGCAGTCTGCAGCTTAGGAGAATGGGTTGCTTCAGGGGAAAATTTCAGCTGCGTAGCCATATTTGAACCTGTGGCTGAGAGAATGGCCCTGTTCACATTCAGATTCACATGAATCTGAGTTTTATAGCCTGTTGATCTCAGAGGTCTGGAAAGAAGCCGAGGGAATTTGGTGGAGGAGTAAATGGCATTTCCCTTGTTTAGTTTGCAGCCAGTAGTCTAGTTGAGGATGATTCTTGGAGGTCTAGAATAGATGTGACTGTGAGAAGTGTTGAGCAAATAGCTTCCATGAGAAAGACTTGAATTGAGATGGACAGTAGTTTTTTTCTGAGATAATACTTCAGTGAGGGGCAGAAGATGAAGTCTCTCCTGATTCCCAAGAGCTCAAGCAGCAGAAAGTAGTCATTGCTGTCAGGCTTGCTGTTGAATGTACGTGGTGTGTATCTGTGTCAGTTGGCTTCTGTTCACTTTCTTATCCATAGAGAGCACTACTGATCACTGCCCAGAAATACCGACATCCCATGCTCCACCACTACCCAAGCCTAAGCCTAAATCCAAAAAATCTCCGCTACCGCCAAAAAATGCTATTGCCGCTTCCACCACCAACAGCCATAAGAGTAATGAAGCACCTCATGCTAAAAAAAAGGGAAAGGCTCCTGCTAAGCAGCCTCCTCTCCCACCGCCCAAGCCAACAAGTCACAGTGCTAATCGAGAAGCTGGTGAGTACTGCACAGGCAGCGCCAGTTACGGTGGGTGCATGTGCATGGGGGTGCTTGGCTTGGCCTTAGGATAACTTCTGCCTTCGTACATAGCAGCGTTACTGAAGAGCATGCCACGGATGTTTCTAGCTAGGTTCTCGCTGAACTCTGGTTCTGCTGTCTGCAAACACCCCTGGCAGCAGATGAATCACTTTGCTGTTTAATGAACATAAGCGCAACACCAAGCACACCGGCCACTAGACTGAGTTCCCAGCTCAAGTGTGGATGCTGGCAACAAGATGACACATAGAGCTGCTGAAGAATCAGCAGGGAAGAAGGTGACTTCTGAAACCAAACATATGAATTGCCCCAAAGTAAAACTACCTTGGTAATGCTCTAACTTTCCGCTGGAAATATCTACTGTTCTGATTAATTTGACAAGATTACAAGATCTCAAAGAGGTGAAGGATAAAACCATGGGCACCTTTAAAGATTGTTGAGTAGCAGTTGTTTTAGCTGGGAAAAAAAAAAATAGTTACAACTCATTAGAAATGGCCAGGCTTCCCTGAGCTGGTTGATGGCTTACTGTGATGATAAATATGCACTGGAAATGCACATTGCAGGTGTGTTTATCACTGCACTTTTATAACCAAAATGCAGCGGTGATGCTAGATTAAAGATTATAGGTAGCTGTTCTTAAGGTACTGATTGCAAGTTTGAATGGGTATAATTTAGATGATGACCACAATGAAAACATCCAAATATAATCTGAATACAAGCAGTATTATGATGGATTGTATATATGCATTGGCCAAGTTACATAAGCCTTGTATTTTCAATCCTGTGTCAATTTTTCAAAGCCTTTCGGTCCCTCCAGTTTTCTCCCCAGTTAGACCTCTTCGTAGCTTGTACATTTTGGCATGTTTTGTATTTGAAGCATACAGAAGAGGACTGTTTGAAAACATTGCAAGACTGCTAGAGTTACAATAATAACTTTGCCATAAAATATCCATTAATTCGGTATTAACTGTCCCTACTACATCAGACAACCACAAGAATAAATATTTTGAAAACCCAGAATTTGCTGCTTGTATTTCACATTGAACTCAGTTCTTCCCGGGTGAAGGAACCTTATTAGCAGCAGACCCTTCTGAAATAAAACAACCCATCACCCAAAGAGGTGTCTAGACCAATGGGTGGTAACAAGCTCTCAGGTATCTCAGTTCTTACATTAAAATTCATTTAGATTCCAGATTAGTCTCTTAGTAGCCTTGCTGAAATTTTATGCGATGCTTGAGACCATATCAGTATAAAATACACCAATATGTGCCTTATTTAAAATAGTACATATTCTACTGGTGATTTGTTCCAGGATTAGGTACATTGTGTTCATTTGAAGTAGGGCAATACTTCATAAATTGAGCTGTCTGGGAGCAGTGTTTAGTACGAGAGGTTTGTCAGATCCCTGTGAGAGTGAATGCATGAGGCAGCCAGTGATCCAGTCCCATGAAAGCGAAGAGGAATATGAGTAACAACTGAGTCGTGGCTCTCCTGAGGGCACCACAGCAGGTTTCCAAGCTAAAATAGTGGAGTCGGGAGAAGGGGGGACTTACACGGAAGCATGGATATGTGCCAAAAGGCAAGTAACAGCTGTGAAATTTTTCATTTAAACAAAATTCCAATCTTTTACTGAAAAAGAGGCATGACAGAAAATTGTCGGCCAGCCCAGTCAAAAGCAACAATAGCAATAGCACTTTTGACCCACGTGAAAGTGCAGGGGAAGATTTTCCCTGGGAGAAATCTTTCAAGTTCCTGAATCTGATTGCGGGCCCAGAAAGGTTCTGAGAATAATGTCAGGGCTTTTTTTGATGGGAACATCTATTGACATTTTCCCAGCAGCATTTGCAGTGTGGCTGTGTATTTGCGCTATGCTGGTGTTCTTGTATTATGCATGGTGTAAGCATGTAACTGGCTCTGTTGACCTCCAGCCTGTGTTTTAAGTGCTTTGCTGGATCAGAACAGAACCCTTTCTTACTACCACCCACTTACTCAGTAAGGTTTCTGCTAAGTAATATGCAGGTTGGAGCCACCACCTATTTCCCCTGCAGTTATGAACTGGTGCTTGTACCATTTCTTCGCTTCCTTTTGATTTGCTGGTAAATTAAGTCAGTGATTTGGAGTTGATGTGGGTGGTTAGTGCAGTATCAGTAGATTCTGTACCGTGCCCTTTACACTTACCTGGCAGCACAAGGAGGGACGGTGATTTGCCTCAAGTCATGAGTTTCTGTAGATTTTTCCAGATGTACTGAAAGCCTCACAGCACTCGGAATGTTTATAAACTAACATTCAGCTGCAGAAGAGAACAGTATAATGTGTCTTCTGAATTATTTTCCATCGTCTTTGAGACTGAGAGCAGTCTCACTGTGAAAGCTATTTTTATATCGTGAGCTTATTATGGCCTGTCCCTCTATTTTGGTTCTGTCCTAATCTGCTGAGGTGTTGTTTTTATTTAAATGCTTATAAGTAAAGTAGGCCTTTCAGCAGATTTCTATTACAGCTTTCCGTTTTACTCGGTAAGCTTAGCCGCAAGGCTGCCGTGTAGCTTTATAATGTTTTCATTTGTTCTCTTGAGGTTAATGCATTTTTACAACAGCAGAAGAGTTTGAGTTGGATGCCTTTTGATGAAAAGAACTGAATCGTTAAGATGGTTGTCATTTTTATTGCAATTTAAGTGAAAATCAGAAGTCTGAAGCTCCCAGTCCAGGTGATGGGTGCAACAACACAGCAATCAGAAATGTGACTGGAATGCACATTTCTAGCTGAAATCTCTTGCAAAATTGGGCATTGATACATATATGCTTAAATATATAAGTATCACAGGATTGAACGGCAACATCACTGGCCAGCTTGTACAGCTAGTGGCAAAACATTGTGTCACTAGGTTTCCAAGGCTACCTGAGTTGGTCACTGGTAAGACGATGACCTCCAGCATATACAGGAGGCCTTCAGTGCCTCCTGCCTTATGGACGTCATTTGTGCAGAGTGAGATCAGTGGTTTCTGCCTCTGTTTTATGCACATACCCAGATGGACCTGAAAGTAAATCTTAGTTTGCTGTCCTCTGCTGCTTATCATTAACTAGGAGCACACCACTTGCAATAACATTGTGAAAGGTAACTCACGGATATCTGTAGCATTCCTGAGGTGTTTACTGAAAAGCATAAGGAAGATCATGGTGTTCTCCTAGTGCTCAGACCAAAAATTCACATAATAGAAAAGGTCAGGCAGTTTTCTCTGGGGCACTAAACACGTTTGGAATAAGCAGTGGATGTTTTAGATGACATCCAGGCAAGTTGCAATGGACCAGTGCAGAATGCTAGAACCAAACTCTCACCCATTTGTGAGGTTGATTCCCCTCCACTGTTCTTGGGCAAGTATTTATTGTTTCAGGTTTTTCCTGCTTCAAAGGTGAAATTTGAACTGCAACGATTACTTGTCTCAAGTGTGTAGATGAAGGATTGTAGAAATATCAAGTGTAATTTTAAAACTTTTTAAATATCAGCACACATTAATCCATGCAGAAAAAACAATGCAAAATTCATATAGTTGCAAGACAGTAAAATGCTTTATCTTTTCTTATTTTAGCTAGTTCCTCTCATGCAAAAAAAACGCCAGTCTCCAAGTCCTCTTCCTCACCATCTCCTTCATCTACATCATCTCATCCCAAAGCCTCTAAGGAGACTTCCGGCAAATCGGGCACATCAGGGACTCCCAGGGGCAAGAAAAAACCTGGGAAACAGTCAGCCCCACGAACAGCACCAGATGGAGCTGCCTCTTCCCCCTCAGGGGCCACAGCCAACAGGTTGGAAGCAAAGGCGGAAAAACCCGAGCCTGAGCAACCTTCCATAGTAATTTCTGAAACAGAGGATGCAGACCAACCGAGCAAGCTTGTTGTCCCCCCTCCTCCCACCGCTGCCCCTCCTCCACCTCCGCTTCCACCTCCTTCTGCTGCAGCCTGTCAGCCCGCTGTCTCCTCGGATGCCCAGGATGCGTCAGATGGCTGCGTTGCAGGGCCGGCCATCCCCGGATCAGATACTAAACATCTCCAGACTGAGCATGGCGCAGACGAGAGCCTGAGCAGTACGGCCCTCGACAGCCGTGCAGGTGCTAGTGGAGAAGACACAAAAAGGTGAGATGGCATGGCTGTCATTGGTAAGTGGTAAGACCCACAGCCAAGGGAGCCACATCGCTTCTCGTAAGGGACACTGCAGGCGCTTGGGAATCTCTTCTGTTTCTTCTGCTGACTGGTTGTCATGGTTTAACTCTGGCCAGCAAAATACCAGTGCTTTGTGTCCGTCTCTTGGAGGCCCAGGGCAGTGTTGCATCCCAGCACAATTTGTTCTTTGCCAATGTCTTTGAGCCATTCACCTGCAGTACCTTGTGTTTCCTCATAACCCGCCTCTTACGTCGTCGTGTGGCTTAATGTGACCACTGCGGTCAGCAGTGCAGCCAGTAGCTGATAACACTTCTTTTATTTCTCTCTCATAAAAGCACACAAGAAACGATGCTGAATTACAAGGGGGGTTTATTTTTTAGTGGATGCCATTAAATGTTTCACTGCTAAAGCTCTCAATTCAATAGCTGAATTTACTTGCAGACTTAAAAATGACAGTTTCAGGCTTTGGTTCGTAGGTGTTTGGTCTTTCACTGCCTAGTAGCTTGTCTATGTCTCAGATACTATAAAATCTAGTCAAGAGCAAGTTTATAATTGCATTTTTTTAAGCAAAATGGTTGGCAGCAAAAAGAAACTGGCTTATTAGTCTGTCTTTTCGCTGCCACGAGAACCAGTATCTTTCATAACAACCCAAGAGAGTTTAGTCTAGATGCCAGTGGCCTAGACACTTTCCTTTAAATTCTTTCTGGTATCTCTGTGCCAGCTTTACGTTCCTGTACTGCTTCTCCCCTTGCTCTGCCCTTCCTTTACAAAAAGATTTTCCCAAGGCAGAGAGCACTCTGCTGCTGATTTCCATGTTCATCAGTAATGGATTCGAACATTTCGGACTCAACAACAGTAAAATTGTATTTACAATAGAGTTAGGCTTCCAGAACAGGAAGCATTGCAGTCCCATCTGCTCTCCAACTCACTGCTCTCACCTCCAACTTTACGAGCTGTTTTTCTATTCTTAGTAGCTTTTATGTACTGTTGGTCCCATACCACAAGAAATAAAAAAGAATTAGGATTTTTCTTTATACAGGCTTTGCAGAACGTCATTCCAGACTGTTCACACCTCTTTTCCTAACATACATGCATACAGGTATGGATACACATACACACTTTATGTATGTTTTATATATGTATGTTTTGTAGAAAGAAGCAAGTTAGAGTAACAGATCTTTTGTTTTCATACTTGCTTATACGGTCTGTCTCCCATTTGCATTCTGTGCTGCTTGCATTAATGTGACACCACGTCTGCTTCTGAACTGACAGCTTGGCGACCGAAGAAGACCAAGAAGCAGAGGCACCCGAGCAGGCACACTCAGGACCGGCGGAGGAGGCTTCTGACGCCGCTGCCCCTCCTGAGAGTGAAAGTAGCAGAGAGAGCCACAGCAGCGACTCAGACTCTGATGGACCGATACTGTACACAGATGATGATGATGACGATGACGATGATAATGCAAGTGCGGAAAGTAAGCCCCTGACAAGAAAGGTGTACTGGGAAGGGGTGGCCACCTTCAGGTTTATCTGATATACATGTTTGGCCTGGGTTGGCTGAGAGAGCTTACTGGGCTGCTGTGATTGCATCCAGATTGCTAAACTGGAGCTTACTGGTTGGGTGTAGTCTGAAGACGTCTACACCCAGTGAGATTTTGCGCAGCTGCCTCCGTTAAATTGTGCCCTTTGGGAGAGCAAAGACTTTGTGATGGTGTGATGGTGCTGCTAACAAACACATCAATCCATGGGTGATTCTGTCCCAGGATTTGTTCTCTGGCAGGACATCCCGCTGAGAAGTTGCAGGCTACCTTTTGCACATTCCGTTGTGCAAGAATGCCTGACCCACGCTAGTGCAAAGTACAGGGAGAAGAGTATGGCTGCATGGGATGGGTTTGGATGATTTCATATTTTACCACTAGTGAGAAATGAGTGTCCTGCTTCTCCCAAATAATTGTGATTAGAAATTTGCTGGGGCCCATGCAATGGTGGGAGAAGACCAAGCATTGTGTGGATGGAAGTAGAGGTGAGAGGAGCAGGTTCAGGAGAACATGAGGACAGAACAAGGCCTGCATATTAGGGCATCAGCGAGCCATTGATCTGACTTGCTCATGTAATGAACCTCTACCGTTAAAGCACCCATGTAGCTTTCATCTGAATTGCTCTAGAAATCCCAGAGTTTCCTGTGGGAGCACCAGGCAGGGGTGGACAACAGAAGAGGCCCATCAGTTGGCAGCTTCACTGTCTGGAAGTCATTTGTTCCTCTCTGATTGGGGTGTTTTTGAAGCACTGGAGCACCTTGGCAAACGGGGCAGATCACAATGGATTACTTCCAAGTTTACAGCTTCGAAATGTCACCTGGGGTGGTGGCTGTATCACCACTAAGTATCATTCGGCAGAAGTCCTTGCTGCTGCCGAAAGGGGTTGTGCTGCCCACCCTCTGCTTCCTCCCTGGTCCCAGCTGTTCCTTTTTCCCTGAGGCCCCCACTCATGGTTGGGTTTACAGTGGTGGCTGATTTTCAGCAAAATCAGTTCCCTGATCCAGCTCACCACATGGTTGCACCTTTGCTGGAGCAAAGGAGGCGGCAGCGACAACCTGTGGGGGGTAGAGAAGAGGGCAACCCTGCCCCTACCCTGCAGGGTGGCCTTGTGTCAGAACAAAATGACCATCGAACCATGGCTTGAGAGCCTTGCCTGCAGCTGTTCAGGAGGTGCTTCGCTGTGCTTAGTGAAGAAGGCCTGAACACAAAAGTGCTGGGTACAGAAGAGGGGTGAGGGAAATGAACATTCTTTTTTTACCTGGGACACTGGTGCAGCAGAAGGTGAAATGCCAGCTAGCTCAAGAAGCCGAAATCTTACGTAGTTCTGCATTTGGCTTGAATATGATCCAATGTGTCAGCAACCAAAAATTCATATATCAGACAGCAGGACGATGTCATAGGAGAAATGAGCTGGGAGCCTGTGGTCTTACCAAACTGTAATGCATGAAAACCTGCCAACCTAGGACATACATAGCCGCTTTGGTCAGAGTATCAAGAGACAAGGGAGGGACTAAAGGCCATAAAAATTACTCTTCCTTCCACAGCTGGCTGAAGCTAAGACTCGCAAAATTGCACAGCCCATGTCCCTGCTGTATCTGTGTTAGGGATAAACAGATTGATTCAGTGTCTGGGAGTTCCTGCCTAGGTTAATTTACAGGCATTCAGGGCACTTTTCTAAATTGTATTTTTTGTTTTAACTTACAAATTAGTTAAAGATGAAAAGTACTCTACAAGAACTAAGTGGTATTAGATTGAAAAAAAATTAAATAATGAGGGAAAAGATGAGAGAATGAGGCTAAACCATTTAAGGCTGACAGAAAAGAGCAGCAAGTTGCTAAATATACTAATCAGTTAAATAAACCAACCTGTAATGTATCAGACTTCAAAGATACTTAAGTGTAGATTTGTCATACTTATCCTATCACTTCACAGATGACAAGTGATATTTGTAGAACTTCTCTACCAATTTGGCTGCTTTTTTGTTCAAGCCTTTCAGCTTTTTGTTGTTGTGAACTATTTTTCTTTTGATGTTAATTAAAATTCCTCTCCTGCATGTGGGAACAAGGCTGCTTTGGGGAGGTATTAAAGTTCTTACTCAGAGTTTGTGTCTGTAACCTAAGCATGAATGAACTAAATCTACCCTCCTCCTCCTTTCCTCAGACTCTTTGGCAAGTAAAATTCGTCGCAGGGATACTCTTGCTATCAAACTTGGCAACAGACCATCTAAGAAAGAATTAGAAGACAAAAACATCTTGCAGCGTACATCTGAAGAGGAGAGGCAGGAAATCAGACATCAGATTGGAACGAAGCTAGTGAGGTATCAGTGGCAGGGTAAATGCGGTTTCACTGGGCGGAGGTGGAGGAAGAGAATCAAGAACACTGGGTTCGCGTTTTAAATGCATCCCAATATGTGGTACAGCTGCCTGGAAAACAGTGTTTTTATTTCTCAAAAATGTTAAAATGTCAATAATGCAGTTTTATTCTGCAGGAAACCAAGAGAGTTTTTGGGGTTTTAGGTTGGGTTTGGGGTTTTTTTTCCTTCTTTTTTTTAAAGAGGAAGAGAATAAGACTGGCTCCAGAATAATCAGTGCCATAGTTCAAGTTTTTTCTCCCAGGTCCTTGCACTTGTATATCCCCATCTCAGGCAGAGTCCTAGTGCCTGACACACAGAGCATGCCTGTGCATGTTTGTCCCTCCTGGCCCTCCCCGTCCTCCTCCTGCTCTCTATCTCCTTCATTATTCATGTGCCAGCAATAGAAATGGAAGGAGGCTGACTTTGTAGGTCAGTGTTTAGTGTGTGACTGTGCTCACCGCTGGGGCATGTCTTTCTCATGCTGTTTAACTGCTATGGGATACATGTTACTTGCTCTTCCTGAATTAGAGAACATTGCATAAAAAAAGACAATTTTCGCTTGCATTTGTACAAGCTTTTTTTAAAAAAAAATCCTCATCACCATTAATTTGGGCTTTTACGGTTTCTGAGAATAGACTGCAACATGTCTGGATTTTCCCAGAACTGTCCTTGTTTCTCTTGTGCTCAGAAATGTTGTCCAGGCAGATTTGGAGGATGTCCTGTGTTTGTTAGAGATTTCCAGATACTGGGTTGTCCAGCCAGTGCTGCTCCGGTGCAGAGCACGGCAGTCTTGCACCAGCACTTGGGAGATGAGCTGAGTTGCTCTGGGAATCGGGTGGCTGGCTAAGTCATTTATTACATCCCTGAACTATAAGACCAACACATCTATTGTGTAGAGCTCAAGAGTCATTTTAATTCTGCTAATACAGCAGCGTGGTGGTTGTCATCACTGTCCTGATCGAATCCCAGCTCTGGGAATGACATGCTGCTTGTTGGTGTTCCCTCAGGGGCTTGAACTGCATCCTGAGCTCCTTGCACAGGGACATTGCTGGTTCTGCTGGGGAGCTGGCACACTCCCCGCACAGCTCTGCTTTGGTGGCTGGGGACAACATCTGTGTGTGTCAGGGCTGTGCTCATGCCTGACCTCGCAACCAAGCTTGATGCTAGTTCCTTAATAATTCTTGGTTCCTTAAAAAGGCTGGTTAGCAGCCGGCAGCATCAGGGTCTGATGGGAAACCTGTTCTCATAGTTTGGTCAGGGTCAGGTCCCAGCCTGGGACTTCCTACAGCAAGGACTGGTCGCTTGGGGTAAAGCTGCTGGTCCTCCCTGCCAGATCTGAAAGTCCAAGTGTGGTTAGAATGGGATGGGTTTCGTTAGACCAAAGGTGATCTGTAGTGGACTGTGTGAGGCACCTAGCTTTAACACATCTGCAAAATTAATTTTACTGCTGAAGTTTTCTGGCTCCTTTTCTCAAGTGAACAAATGAACCTGTTTATAAAACATAGAGACAATATCAACCAGGTTTTCCACTATACAAACCAGAAAATTAATATCTCAGTGTCGGGGGTTTTTTAATGGCAGTTGTTATATATAGATAATTAAATAAAAATAACTTTCAATTAAAACTGCCAATTGTATTGCACATATAAATCAGTGAGGAATGCACAGCTTATGTTTGTTTGTTTGGTTTTTTTTTAAATAAACCAAAACGAATTTGCATTCAAAATATCTGAGAATAATCTTATAATTGCACAACTTATCATAATTATGGCACTTGGGGACAAAAAGGGTTTATGAATTCCATAAAATTCAACCTGTAAATGAGGAATTTGAATTTTCTGGCATAAATTCTGTATTATTATGCAAGTATTTATGTGTTGGAGTGGCAATAGTACATCTTTTAAAACAAATGGCCAGTCGGTACTGTGGTTAGATGCACAGTTGTTATAACTGTGTCTGGAAATGACCTGTGTTGTTGAATACCTCTGCTGGCAAAGAGCAGCATGGCCATATGAGAAACAACTTACAAGCTGTATTAAAAATCATAATGTGTTACCTGTGTCTGATTTTAAACCAGTCACTTACTTTGTTCTCACAGGAGACTTAGCCAAAGGCCTACAACCGAAGAGCTAGAGCAAAGAAATATCCTAAAGCGTAAGTATTTTATACAAGTTTCAGCTATTATTTACTTAGAAAGAGAGCATATGTTGGATTCGGGTGGAAGCCTGTCATTGTTGCTGTAGTGTTAGAGCCATAACTGGAGGGAAATTATATTCTAGAAAATAACGTGTCAGCACTAGATCTGTACGCAGACCTGTAGCGGTAGCTGTGAAAATTGCATATATTCAAGATGCTGAATTTTTCTCAATCCCATTTCTTGAAGCTGGCCCCAAAGACAAGGAATGACTTGGATACCCCTTAGGAGTAGTTCTACGATAGTTAAACTTCCACCTAATTTTCATGAGGAGGAGGGAATATCAGTAGAAGGCAGAGGTGGGATATAAAGGCAGAGATTAGATGGTGGAGTAGAAACAGGAAAGGTAAAGTGTTCAGGGGAAAGTGAATAGATACATGACATCTACTTCAGTATAATGGCCTTCGTAACCACTTCTGACATCTTCTGTACTGAAATTTGCATGAGAAATTCTCACTGAGTAACTTCCCGTTGATTAAATCCTTCCTCAGTATCCCTCTTGAAAACTTTAAATGTGTAGTTCAAATAGTCAGGGTCAGAGGAATGAAGTACACTGGATATTTACCCTCTATACATCTTCTCCCATTTACTTACGTTGGTTTTGTTCTTAGGCTGGCAAATGCTTCACAACAGGCATTTTTTTGTCTTCTTGTATAAATCCTTCCATAATACGGATGTTACCTAAACACATGCTCTCACAGTTGTCCTGCTCAGCTCCTCTAGCCCTGTGTTCATTCTGCAAGGGTAGCTAGCACTTGATGCTTAAGTAAAAGAAACAAATTAAAGAAATGGGTCTGGAAGCATTTCACTCCTAACAACAAATCCCAAAACTCGTCTGTTCTTAAGGTATAAGAGGTTCCCACTCTTGATGCAGCTGAAAGAGCAGGTATAATGCTGTTATTTCCAACGATAGTTCAGAAAAGTTGGAGTTCACCCGTGCAACCCTGGTGCACAGCATCCTAGTGGAAGAAAAGAAAACGGGCTGTTTACACAACAAAATCCATGGACATGGATCATGCTGTCACCTGCTCAGGCCAGCAAATCAAGGAGACAGCAATTATCGCCTTTCAGGCAACCACCCATACTAATGAAATCCTACTGCTGTTGTCTGGGCGCTCAGAATAACCAAATAACGCCATGTCTTCCTGGAAAGGAAAGCTGCAGTTCATGCGTTACGGTGCACAGGAGAGGGTTCGAGGGACTCCTGTCCAAAACATAATGTCAGCAGACTTTCTAAGACTGTAATTTCTGAATCTATAGATTACATAGATAAATAAAGATAAAATTTGAAATACAAACTTTTTTTATATGTCGAATTGCTTATGCTAGTCTGTGTGAGAAAGGTAATTCCGAAATATCCTTGGTGGGCCAGGGTGCGGGCCGCTGAGCTGGGAGGGTCAGCTGGGCTTCCTTGTTGCCCTCTAAGTCTGGCTCATCTCTAGATAACTAAACTAGCACCGAGCCTGCCTTGTATTTAACATCCCTTTTGCCATTGTTTATTCCGTTCACTGATTTTGCCATAAGAAGCTCAAGACTGGAGAGCAGTTAATAGATTTTTTTCTCCTGTTTCAGCTTGTTTACTTTAAGCTTTTGGCAGGGTACCAGGCTTTGCACTCAATACCTCCAGCCGTCCTCCCCTGCTGCTGCCGGGGGCTGTCTTAAAGCGGCAAGGGAGAGCAAGACATGGAGGCTGGGAAGCAGCATTACGAATCACAGAAAGATCTCGGAGTCATTGACGAGCACACGGAGAATCCAAAACTGCTTTTTGCTCATTGCCGAGATAAAATATACTTTGAGTTGACAGTGATCTGTGAAAAGCAAAGCGAACCCAAGCAGAGCCCTTTCAGGGTGCGAGTTCTCTTTCGACTCTAAGGCAGTCGTATTATTTGTCACAATTATTACATTCCCTTCCTGTGGATCATTCAAAAATGTTTACTTCTCTGAAATGCCTTTGTTGTTGTAGGCAGCTTTTGTGAATAAGTTGGGATTTCTTTCATAAAGCTTCCTTCCTCCTATTTTTAAGCAGAGGATGGGGAGAAGGGGTTATGTCATTGCAGTAAACTGCAGCTAAAGGGAAAGTATTGTTTTGAGTAATATTTATCAGACTTTGAGGTTACACTGTGGTAAAGGTCTAAATGTTTATTTCAGGATTAAGTTCAGCCCAAATCTTTTAAGAGGTTCGCAACAAAGCCCTTATTTTTTCTTTTTTCTTATTTCCAGTTAGTGAGGAAATCTGTCTTTCAAGAAGTTTTGCTTTGATAATATTTCCAGATAAACCAGTTACTGAAAATCCCGTGACCAAGTACGGTCGCAAGGCATTGGAGGCAGATTTCAAGAAAAAACCCATTTGGATAAAACTCCGCCAACTTCTGAGTCTTCCCAAACTAAAACCAAGTTAAGATAACTCAGGAGTCTGCTTGGAGGAATAGATAAAGCTCTGTGTTTTTAACACAGGCAGGTTTCTCGTGTGCTGGCTTTGAGCCAGCGGTATTTATAGTACTGCATTATGGTAAAGAACATTTTCTTCTTCCAGGAGTTTCGGATTAAGATAACCGTATTTTTTCCTGTACGTGGAAGGGACAGTGAACTTCTTGCACTGTGCACCTGCAGGCCAGCCAGTACTGGCTCTGAGGAAAACAGGGTTTAGCTATTGGTGCTAGTTAAAGAATATTAATGGTTATCTTTGCTTGTAAAACCAGGAAAGAGAAACCGCTCTGTGCGTTCCAGAGCACTGCAAGAGGCAAGCGCTTTATTTGTCTTTTCTTTCTCTTTCCCGAGCAAACCCACAGAGAAGTCTAAACATAGCTAATCCCATAGGGACACAATGGAAAGTTCGGTTTTACGCTCCGGGAGTACTTTCTGGTCAAGAACGGAGCAGTCCTCGGGCAGAACAATTTCTCTCTTCTCTTTTCCCTTCCTGCTACAAAACAAATGTCCCGCACAGCAGAAGGTGACCAGATCTAATACGGCAGAAGTTGGAGGAGCAATTACGTATAGATGCCAGGGAAGCTGCCCTGCTCCACTCTGACCGGTGGAGTTTTTGACTCAAAGACCACAATAAGTGATGCTAAACAAAATTGTTTCAATTAGGAGTCAAATCCCAGTTTGACCTCCTAGAAGCTGCATGCAGGGAAGGAGGGAAACTGTAGTTTTGCTGGGATCTAACTGAAGACTCCTGAAAGCATCAGGCACATGCTGGGCTGGTCCTTTGCCAGTACAACAGCAGCGGGACATCTGAGGGGGGGACTTGCAGCTGGGAACGCTGTGTTTATATTTTCTTTCTCCACATCACCCAGATTAGATCTGCTTTTAAGGTGGCAGGCCATCAGAAGTGTGCTCCTATGCATTAATGTGTTCCTGATTGGGCGAGTCAGTTCATACCTGCAGCCAAAACGTGGCTCTCCACCTGGAATTTTCCACAACACCTGAAGGAAGCAGGAGCACAGATCCATTATTTTTAGCACCACACAGCTGCTTCACTCACTGCAGCAACTTTCAAAACTTTTACCTTAGAAGAGCAAAACCACACTGTAGGTGTTACTGTTGGTAGGAATTTGTGTCAGGGCAGTGTTTCTGTAGCACCAGGCTTAAAGCAACACTGCCAGCGGGCTGCAGATGGGAAAGAGGTGCTTTAGGTACGAGCCGGTGCCATAGGCAGAGGGCTGTTTGCCAAAGAGCAGATTCAGTGTATTAGCAGCAGCCACCTGATTTCAGTCCCTTTCCTGTAGCTGTTGAGTTCTATTCCTAGAAGTAAAGCCACTTACCATAGACTGACAGGATGGTTGGGGTTGGAAGGGACCTTAAAGCCCATCTAGTTCCACCCCCCCTGCCATGGGGGGGCAGGGACCCCTTCCACTAGACCAGGTTGTTCAAAGCCACATCCAGCCTGGCCTTGAACACTTCCAGGGATGGGGCATCCACAGCTTCTCTGGGCAACCTGTTCCAGTGCCTCACCACCCTCTCTGTGAAGAATTTTTTCCTGATATCCAATCTAAACCTCCCCACTTTCAATTTAAACCCGTTCCCCCTTGTCCTGTCACTACAGGCCCTTGTAAAAAGTCCCCCCCCAGCCTCCTTGTAGGCCCCTTCAGGTACTGGAAGGGGCTGTATGGTCCATCCTGCCCCGACCTCTCATGCAGAAGAATGTTGCCCATGGGTTTGTTCCCTGCCTGCTTTGCCGCAGAGTGAAGGATGCTCCTGGTCCCTGCTGTTAGAGCTGTCCTCGGAAAGGCGGGTTTCCAGCCCTCCCCACCAGCCTTCTCCAGGGCCTGCCTGGACACTCTGCCTGGCAGCTAAGGTGATGGCCTTGCTCATCTTCCATTTCTAGGTGGTTTCCCATGTCCAGCCATCCCTTCCTGCAGTCTGGGTCTGCAGCCTACAGGGAGGTAGCTTCACAGCCTGGACTAGGCAGCCTTCAACCTTCCTAAATGTCCAGATCAGCTTTTTCAGTTATTTTATCCTCCCCCAAAATACAGAAAAACAGTATTGCAGGTGGCTGTGCTGTTGGTAGTTGTTTCTTAAGGTATGCATTAAGCAGTGTGAGCCTCTATTTCTTACATCAGGCATCTTACTGCTGCTTCTTAGGAGACATGGTGGTTTAGATAGTAAGGAAATGTCAAGATATGAATAATGCAGAATGTATTTTACAAACTAAGTTAAGGAAAAGGCAGCACAGTGATGTGTATATCCAGCTGCATTTTTTTTTTTCTGCTGTGTCTGATACTGGAGAATTTCTGAGGTAGGACTTAAGTGGCTTAGTTCATGAAGGGACAAATTTTTTTATGTCAAATAATTCCCAGGTGAATAGAACCCCAAAATAATAGTTTGTGTTTAATTGCCTCAGTTACTACATCTATTGATTGCAGAGACAGCGTGTTTAAGCAAAAGCCTACAGGTGATTTACCTGTCCTAAAACAGCTAGAGAGCTTTCGATTTTGTCAGGTGAAGATGTTATAAAAAGAGTTCTCATTTGAAGTCATAAGCTCTTAAATACAATGAATTTGTTTACTGATATATTAACAAAAATTTAAAGAATGTATATCGATCTTATCTCTCCATTCTTCAGTTTTAGTCAGTTTACAGTTCCTCTGTGGAAACAGGCCATCCATTTCCTCACCATTGAAGAGAAAAACTATTAATAAACCATAAATTACATGCACATTTCAGTGTCTCAGTAAAATCGCCATCAGCACTGGATCCAATCTAATCCTGGCAACAAGCCTGTGTGATTGCATCTTGCCGATGGAAGCCAGGGATTGGTGTTGGACTCCTCTCACAGAGCAGGTCTTGGGCTGGCATCGCCTTTTACCTTCTCTAACTTTCTTCTTTTTGTTTTTTATCATTTGTTCCTCTTCCCCTTCCCCTTGTATACGTCTTACGCAAGAGCAAAGGAAATCTGCAAGTACCATGAGGTGACCTGTCGTAGTGTTGTCTCCAGTGTATCAGTCATGACATAGAAGGTCCTCCACGGCCAGGTTGCCTATTCTAACACAGCAGGCTGGTCGTAGCAGACAGGGCAAATCGGACTATACCAGGATTTAAAGCTGCCTTTTCATCTATACAGGCTGGCTGCATCCAGCACAGGCAAATTAATGCCTTTAAATTTATGGTTAGCCTTGAATTGCAGTGTGGAGTCCATGGGTAAAACAGGATCAGAATTCTGTAGATATCTCTAGGTGGGATATTTCAGCCACAACAAAGTTAACTTCGCATATAACCATCAGAAGTGGACTGAAAGGGCAAATAATATTCTTCAAGATGGACCTCAATTAAAAAAACCGCTGAGTCCGTATGAATGTGCCTTTGTAAATGCGATTTTCACTGTCATTCGGGAAATCAAGTTTGGTTAGCACAGGGTTTTGTTAAAAGCACATTTCAGTCTCTCGCCCAGATGCATTCACGAAACGCACGTGTCATTTTCTGCTGTACTCTTTCACTCAGTCTAGCCAGTGGCCTTTAACCAGGAGGGCCTGAGTGCTGAATTGTATGCCCGTATTATAAAATAAAAAAAACCATTAAAGTAACAAAACCAATTTGTACAAACAGATGAGTATGAAACAACCTGTCATTGATTCTTTGTGCCCTGTAGCAGTAGAGGACACTCAGCTGATCCAGGTACTCAGAAACAACCCTTTTCTTGACCCTTATGAATAATTAGACTTTTACTCTAAAGTCAATAGGTGGTTTGTTGGAAGTAAAAGCAACAGCGATTTTAATGTTAGGACAAGTAATTGAAATATTAGGCAGCTCTTTCAGGGTACTTCTTGTTTGCTCTTACACAAAAAGGAGATGACAGACACCTCTGCTGTGTTCCTGACCCACAGTGGTGATGTGGGATGTCTACAGAATCAGGGGAAATGAGGATAGGGAAAAGAAGCAAGAGCACACAAAACCCAAATAGCAGACAACACATGCAGGATCACCCAGAAATGTGAGGAAATGTGAGCCAGGACTTGATGTCCTGAAGCTTTCAACGAAGAGAAATGCAGTATGTGTGGTTATAATATTGAAATACTCACTCCTTTTTATCTCTTTTGAAAACAGAGAAGAATGAAGAAGAGGAACAAGAAGCCAAAAGAGAAATAAAACGTAGACTCAGCAGAAAGGTGATGATGTGGTTTTTGTATTGTGTATGTGTGTACATAGGATTATTTTTTATAAGATTCTAAAAATCGGTGAGTGCATTACTGCAAGTGTCCATCAGTATGCCCCCACATCAAAAATCTGTTTAAAAAGCAGTACAAGCCAAGCACATCTTGGGGGAAACTCCATCCTGTCCAGCTTCTCATACCTGGAAAAGCATACAGAGCCTGGCCGTGCTTAATGTATGTCCCCTGTAAGCAGGGGAGAGAAATGACATGTGTGAGCATGACCACTGCTGTCATGTATGTCTGAGGGCAGCCACCCCTGGACATCCACTTCCGTAGAGCAGCGGCGAGGGCAGGAGAGCAGTGCAGGCCCTAAGAAATCCCTTCACTGTTCTCCTAACCACCGTGGTGATCGTGGCCGCCGCAGGTGGGATTGTGCTCATTGTTCCTGGAAATAAAGCAGCTGTGGGTCTGCTACCCTGAGTGGGAGCTCGCTGTGGGAGAGGATGGGGGCAGTTTTTATACATATCCCTAGCCTGCCCTTCTCTGCAAAAATAGTTTCATTTACATGGTTGTCCTTAGTTAATTAAAGTGAATATTGTTTGAGGTGACTGAAACAATTTGGCATCGTAATGACCCCCAGATGTTGAAAATTTTATTTTAGGTAGGCACCTCCAAATCCTGCTTATTTTCAATATTACAGTTGAACACAGCAGACTGTGTAATCATTAATGCAAAGGGACCTACTGCCTAGTGGGGTAAATGGTGTGACAGTTGCAAAGTCACAATTAATATTCCAGGGATAACTGTCATGATTCTCTCTGACCTGCCTGACAAAGACTATTTTTATAATTGAAGCAATTAGGTTGTGCTGCTTCCCTGTTCCTGCGTAGCGCTCCCAGGGTGGTGCCTTTTTTTAGACACCTGAAAGTGACCCTATTTAGAAATACCATTGAAGTTCTCCTGAGATTACATCATACCCTCGTCTTTTATTTTATTTTATTTCATCCTATTGAATGTACTGTTTTCTGCCTCCCACCTACAGCTCAGCCTGAGGCCTACAGTGGCTGAACTTCAAGCAAGAAGAATCCTTCGATTTAACGAGTACGTAGAGGTCACGGATTCTCCAGACTACGACCGTCGTGCCGACAAGCCTTGGGCCAGGCTAACGCCCGCAGACAAGGCAAGGGACCAATGTCGATTTTAAGAAAATGCTTGCGTCTGTCACTTTTGGGGAGCTTTCCTCTGGTTTGCATTCTCTTGACACCAGCATCACGAATGACACCTGCTGGAGGCAGCAAGATGGTCATGGTGCTACTGTGCATCTGCTGCTTGCAGATGAAAACCCGCTCAGGTGCCTATTAAGAGCATACTTGCCACCTCCATTTCGGCAGTTTTGGCCAAAATTCCTTGCATTTTTAAAGCCTTGCTAAGCCAGGCACACAGCGTTTACAAAGGTGGCCACGACGCGTGGAATTTGGGCAAGGTTTGTGCCTGTGTCACTGCCACAGCGTGGCAAGAGTTACTTTTGCAGCTCATTCAAGTGGGAAAAGGGTAGAAGCTGCTCCATCCTCCTGCGGGTTCTTGGGCACAACTGTCAGCGCAGTTGTGCGTGCAGCAGGTCTTCCTGGGACGTTTGCCCCAACATGCTTCAGTGAATAGTTCTTCTGTTGTTCCTGTAACGTGAGACAAATGATCCTGCGTTTCTCTTTTAAAAACCAGATCAGTCCAAGAGTGCTATAAGATACTCTTCCGTCTCCCTCCTACACCGCTTCATAAAAGGAAAGCTGTAGGATTTATGTATCAAAAAGTGCTGGCCGTTTTAGCACTGGGCCTGAACCAACTTACGTGGAAATACTGTGAGATGTGCTTGGCAGGAAAAGCAGCATCTGCAAGAACCCACTGTCTTAGCTTTAGCTAAGGACTGTGAAGCACTGATTTTATTTCCGCTTGTGTTTTAATATTAATGCCAGCTCATCTGACACTCAAACGAGTCTCATATCAAGTCAAGGTGGAGACGTTGTAAGTGTACCCAGATGTTTGTAGGGACTGGTTCTGGGAGGTGCCGAGCCCTCTCTAGTCCTCGTGCAGTCTGTGGGAGGTTAGAGCACCCGGCACCTCTGCTTTCACCTGTGTCCAACCAGGGCAAACTGCTCTAGCAAAAACCACTCGAGCTTCCTCCCTATTTTAGGGTAGCAGTTTTAATCTCAACTCACCTTGAAATGAACAGGTGCCCAAGGCCAGTTCTGTGATCTGTGATCCCCCTGTTTGTTGGCCTCAGCAGAAAGGCAGACTCTGGGCTGCCTGGACACTCCCTTGCCTTTTTTTCCCCAAGGAAGTAATTTTTCTAATCCCAGTGGGAGCAGAAAATTGTACTGTAACTCTATCACGGAGCTGGCGCTGTGGTGCTGATGATTTGGTGCTCCAAAGTAGCTGTCTCTTCCCTAGCTCTTACAGCAGCCTCGTGTGAGTGTGCTGTTATGGCTAAACGGAACCTTTCCCTGCTTAAACTGAAGTTTCTCATTTAGGAGACCGGAGTCTGGTGCTGCTGTGATTTTGTCGCGCTGCTTGTCTGTTCTGCATTGAAGGTGTGCACACCAGACGAGCTGGCTTTAGGGATTAATGAAATGACACTGCTTTTCTTTAGAATGGCAAAAGAAGAGAGGGACTAAGAATAAACTAATTGTATTTCGCAGTGAGGGAAGGCAAGCATATGGCATAGAAACAAACAGTCCTTGTAGTGTATTTTAGCATATTGGAATAATTTTATATACTACCTGATGAAGTAAATTGCTTATCACTCTTAACATAAGAAACAAGACATTTACAAGTGCACTGAATTTCTGCTGTTCTTTAGTATCTGCCAACTGAAAACACAAGCCTGAAGTGTCCAAATATTTCATGTGATTTTACATAAAGCTAATCAAACCAAGTGACTAATTCCATTAAAAAAAAAATTGCTATTCATCTTGCATTCCCAAAATCAGTCCCCAGTGGGGAGATGCAAGGCTCCTGCTGTGTGCACAGTGCCTGCGCAGGCAGCGTGACTCACCAGCACCCCGGGGGCTGTGTCTGGAGGTGTAACCCCCCCCCTCCAGGCTGCGCACTCGGCAGGTGACTGTCAGGGAACCTAGTCCCTTGCCCCTTTTTGTCTGCAGCAAGTGCCATGCTGGGGGGAGAGGGGTTGGTTCACCCATTCACCCACTGCAGTAGATTTGATGTTTCTTTGTTTATCGTTGGTGTTGATGCTTTGGGTTTCTTTGTGATATATTACCGCTTCAAATATCTGTAATTGAAAAAAGTCGTTTGTTGATGAGAAATGTGTGAGAGCTGTGGGTTACAGGAAGGGAGACTGGAAAACGGGAACTGTAACGGAACCTGCACGAGTAGGGCCGCGTTCCTCTCAGACTCTGCTTTCTTTAAGATTCATGTCTCTTACGGTTGTGTTTATTGTTATTATTTATTAGGCAGCAATACGGAAAGAACTGAATGAATTTAAAAGCACAGAAATGGAAGTACATGAGGAAAGTCGGCAATTTACCAGGTGGGTGAACCCCTCTTCTCACTTTAGTGGGAGAGATGAGTATGACAGCCACCCTCTGCCTTTCTGCAAGCCCTCTGCAGCTGTGTCGTGGCTTGCGTAGATCCCTGCCATCCGTCCCCTTGAATCCCACCTGAACCCCACCACCGATTCCGGTGGGCTTCCCAGTGTTGCTGGTGCCATCCCTGAAGTTGGGTAGATGATACGGCAGCAAAGGTGACTGCAGTGGAGCAGTTGCCACATGGAAAAGGATTCTTTGTGAAACCTAACCCAATAATCCTTTGAAAGGACTCAGCATTTCTCGCAGATGAAGTTAACAGTCCTCCAGCCCAAGGAAAGGGATGTCCTTGTCTGGCAGTGCTCCCTTCCTCATGAAAGTACGTTTTTCTAGGTGTGTTTGGTAAGTGAAAACTAGGTGATATGTTAAACTTAAGAAAAAGCTCACCAGCGTTTTGGGGAGCTTCCTAAGGGTCACCTAGGCTCCTGGCAGCAGCTTCCGGGGAGCAGGACAGATTCTAATGCTCCCTGTTTGCTACTTTTAGCGTGTTAATCTGTGTTTCCTTTGTTCTCTGTTTTGGGGGATAACACCAAGATGCTGCCTGAAGCATTATTATTTAAAGAGCTCTGACGCGTCCAAAGTTTTTATCAGGACTTGGAGTTTGGCAGTTATTCCTAGAGGGAGGGAGATGCTTTCTGCCATCCCCATGGCATCTGTTAGTATTTTTTGAAGTTAAAAAGACTGAAAATTGCCCCCAGCAAGCAAAACTTGCTGTTAGGATTAGCCAGCGTTGCATACACAGTGTTACTGTCTTCACTTCCACATGGGGTGAAATCAGATACAGTTGCCCAAGACCAGGTCCCTTCCTTTTCCTGCTACTGTTTCCATCAAACTCAGGGTCTGAGCATGTGAGTGCGAATCCTGTAATTACAGAGAGCATCCCAAGGAAAATTCACAGTGGGAGATGGGTGTTTGGTGGTTTCTGGCATCTCCTAGTTCAGTGCTTGATTTCGCAACTTCAGTGATTTTTTTCTCACCAAAACACAGATTTTTTTTTTCAGTATAAGTGGCTAATCCCCACTTCCATGTAGATATAACATGAATAAATTAATATTCAGAATATCAGACCAGTTTCACAGCAAACCCAGATGGGAGATGAACCAGGAGGCAGGGTTTTTAACCAGTGTCACATTCTGACCAGTAGAAAATGTCCTTTTCAAACAGGGATTTGTGTTTTTTCATTTGGCTTCAGATGTCATTTTCTCTTCAGGTAGTGGGTAGTGTATCTTCTTCAGAATACGTAACAAAATGCTACGTTAAAAAAAGTGGGTATCCCAAGGGAGGGAAGGAAATTGAGCAGGAATAGAAGCCTGGCTGTGTGCTGAGAGATGGAGTGCAACCCCTTGGCCCACATTGTTACGCTCTGTCCGGTCGCACTGCGGTACAGAAGTGTAAGGACAGGTGGGCATGGGCCGTACAGAAAGTATCAGGTATTTTGTCACAAGAATCGGAAACAGTTGAGACCGATTGCCGTTGGATTCTTGAAAGCTGAACCAAAAATCTGAGGGATCCCGTGGGCTGACAAACCGGCTAAAAAGTGAATTTTTATTTTTGAGGAGGGCCTTGGAAAATGGAATAAAAAATAGGCACAGCCAAGTACTGATAAATTTAGGCAATGACTCTGTAAGGTCCTGGAAGAATTGCAACCTGAGAGAAATCAGGCACGCTCTCTGTTCCCTCTCCACCCTCTGTTTTTTCACTGGTTATGTTGTGGAGCCACTGCACAGAAGTCAGCAGAGTAACACTAGGGAAGGCTAATTAAGAGCAGAATTAGATGCAGATGTTTTAAGTCAAGTGCAATTTTGAAAATAAAAAGAGAGTGTGTTTCCTCCAGGACCTCTCATTAACAATTATGTAGTTCACCACTACATTTGGACTGACACAACAGAAGTGATTTGTTCTAAGAAAACTGTAGACAGAGTCTCTAGCCAGAAAATGAATTACTCATATTTTTAAGGATTTTTTTCAAGAAGATAACTGAGATAATATAAACCAACAGGCACTTGCATTGGCAGCTGGTTAACACAGGCTCATTCGTAACGTTCTGTGACAGAAGGAGACAACAAGAAAGCTGCTTATTAAACAAAAAGAGCTTACAGCATATAGTTTCTTATATTATTACATATTCAATGTAAGATGCTTTAATATTATAGTCAGTATTTACCGTATCATTGAATTGTTAGAATTTTATATTAAGCTTGGTAAAGAAAAAACACTGGTTTTCATTGTTATCATTTACCTTAATGACAGTCAGTTGAACTATTTTTCTACTCCTGGTGATTTAGACTGATTCTTTCTGTTGTTTCATAACAGAATCCAAGAAACTGCGTTTCTAAAAATAGAGAAATGAATAAAGGTTTGGGAAGAGGATATTAGGAGATGTTTATAAAGTGCTTCCAATGGAAATGCTATCTGTAGCCCAGTACATTGTTCTACACAAACACAAAACCCCTGTGTCCTTTGGGCAATGCACCGTACCCTCGCTAGGCAGACGGGCCACGTACTTGTGAATGTCACCTTTTGCGTACACCTCCTTCATTTGGGGAAATCCATTCCTGTGCTGTACTGTACCACATCACGGGGGGGATGTGTGCCTTGTTTCTTCTTCTCTTCTCAGAAATTGTGTCCAAAACTTACGTAAATCTACTGTGTGAGGTGCGGCATTACTTCTGTTGTAAAGTTGCTGCATCTCATACTCCTTCATGGACAGGTGTATTTTAAAGCCGTTTGAACAGAGATTTAGAAGTCTGGCGATAGAGATGTTGAGCACCTGCCACCGGTGCCCTTCTTACCCTTTGGCTTTGATTCATTACGTTTAAGCTGAGTCAGAATTTCAATTGCTGTAGGCTCCTAACTTCTCAAAAAGGTTGGCGACACCCTTTGGAGCAACCCACCTCTCTATCCATCATCCAAGCAGCCTGGAGTGACGTACATGGGCTACCTAAAAGTCTAAAAATCAGTGAGGTATATTTAGGCCTTCATGTGCCACAGTGGGCTGCTGTTAATAGGAGGAAAGCACCTGCAGTGCTATAAAATCTGTTTGCTTACTGAAAAAAATCTAAAATATTTGTTAGCTTCATTTTGCATAAGGATTAAAACAGAAGTTTAAGTTTTATGTCTTAGCAAAGCTTTTCGGATTTACTGGCAGTGTCTCCAAATAGCGGATGCAATCGTGGCTAAATCTGTTTGGTAAACAAGACTGGAGACTGCTCTCCGGCCCTGCGGCCAACAGCTTGGCACACCTTGCATACATAGGGTTAACTTCTTCCCCCCACCCCAAAACAGGGCGACATCGCCCCACGCCCAGCCTGCCTATTGGTCTCTGCTAATCCCAGCCATGCCTAGGCAGTGCCTGGAAGAGCGCTGGCTGACCCAAGCAAAACACTGCCAGGGACCACAGTAAAAGGTTAGTGGTGTGGACAGACAGACATACGCCAGCGCCGGAGCCGCACCATAGCCCTGTTTGGTTTTCCAGTCGAGAGGGACTGACAGTGGCGGATAACAGGGCTGAATCTAATCCCACATAGACCAGGAAAATCAGGAGTAATTCTGTTCGTGCAGCAAAATCAAACAGCTGTGAGGGCAGGATGAGGGTCAGTGTCATTGTCATTTGAAATAATGTAATTCTTTATTTTTTTAATGTTTTACCATTTCAGGTTTCATCGTCCGTAACTGTTTGACCACGTCCCGTATTCCGCGCAACGGTTTTCTTTGGGGAGATCATTGCGTCCTGAGGAACTGAGACTGCACTGGAACTTGGCTGAGTGTGAGTGTGCGCTACAGCTTACCCTGAGGTTAACGAAGGACGCGGCCCTCGTCTTTATCAACGGACAAATGATGTCTGGGAGGAGAACCCACGCGAGGTGTTTGTCAGTGCTGAGGCACGGTTCTGTGGCTAGCCCACATGGGTGAACCGGTGGCCGCCTTCTTCGGAGCTACACAAGCCAGGAAGTGCTGAAGACAATCGCTTGAGAGCCTGCTACGAGGAACTGGTCAGACAGCTCCTAGGGTTGGGACTGAGGGAGGGGGGCGTGTGAACGGGACTGAGAGCGTGGGGGGATCGAGACTTACTTGTCGGCCCACAGGGAAAAGTGGAATGGATGGGACTGCACTTGGCCAGTGGGAAGAATTATTATTTAAAAAAAAAAAAGAGCGTGAGCAACTGTGCATGTATATTTTTTTAGTGGCCACAGCCTGTCTTACAAAGGCAGCAAGCCACAAGTCCTCATTGTCATCAGTACTTTAGTGAAGAACTGTAATTTTTTCTGGTGCCAGTAAATGCAGTTGCCAGAAATTAGTCCTAGTGTATAACTCCGCTGTCTTTTTTTTTTACATCCTGATGAGCATGCTTCAAGAAAATACATTGAACATTCACACAGAACAAGTCATATCTTTTTGGTTTTTGATGTTGACATACTCTGGATCCTCAGAAATACGTAAACAGGATTCAACGGACAGATAACACGTGACACTATGAACGCAGTGAAGCGCTTCATGTTCAGAAACACTCCTCGCTGTCTGTCATTTGCCAGTTAAACCACTAGGATCATTATCTTTCTCACCTATGGCAGGCAGTGGTGATAATTTTGCCATCATGCTTGTGTGAACCCCAAATCAGAATTGAAATTTGGCACAAAAGTCTTTACTAGTAGGCTTGAGCAGTGATTACCGGTGTGACATTGCACGTTAAAGGGCTCTTGCGCTGCTTTGAGGAAGAACTCCCAGATGAATCAGTATGTCTTCAGCCAGTGGTGGTGTAACACCCAACAGCAAATCCTCAGAGTGTCTGCAGCCTGTTTTTGTTGAGTGTGAAGAATGCTTCTTAGATTCGTAATTTTTTATACTACCTTGAAATTGTATATGTGAACACAATACTATTAAAGTTAAGTGGTATGGAGTGTGAAAGGCAATACATGGTTTTTCTAAGTTGGCCCAAAGGCCTATTAAAAAGCCTGTGGCGTTGTTTACACTAAGAAATCCTCTGTCTTACATCAGCACTTATTTATCCTTGGAATTAATGTGCACAGCATTTTTTGGGGGGGGTTAGGGGTGGGGGAGGGATCCTGGAATTTACATATGCATACAATTAATGCAGTATTACAATATATTTGCTATTTATCCTTCCTAATGTGTGTACATATTACAATTTATTTTTGTCTTTTATGTGCCCTGTTTAGTTTTTAATTATGAAGTGTAAGTATCTCTTTTTCAGGCAATAAAAGGTCTGTGTAGATGTGATTTTTACCTCGGAACCTGCAGTAGATTCTTGTGGAATGTTTTAAGTTTATAAAACAGAAGGTGGTTGTTTTAGATGTCAGCCTAAAGTCAGGAAGGCAATTTGGTGGCTAAAATGAGATCTCCTGCTTTAGTGATATTTACAAGACCAGGTTTGCATAAATGGAGTGGATTGTTTTAGTAAAGAGCAATTCTAGTGACAGAAGAGTGCTGTCCAACAGCTGGCACTCTATTATTTTTAAAGAGGTTGACAAACCTGTTTTTAAAAAGATAGATTTATGCGACTGTTAGGCTCACTTACATTGCAGTAAAAACCCCGTGACGTACAGACCCCAGAATATCAATAACCGAACAAAGTCACCATCTACGTGCTTGTAGCAGGGAAAGGGAAGCAGCACCTTCCTTTTTTAATGGAATCAATAAGAGGCATTAGGATTCCATTTGCAGAAAACTGTTTAGCATCTGGGAGGCCCATCATTTCATAAGGATAGAAACGCCGCTGTGACATCAAGGAAGCAGTGAAAATGCATTCCCTGGCACTAAATCATGCAGGAATGATCAGGCCATTAGAGTCAAGGTTTGTCAGCAGTTCTGGTAGAATCCTAATTTTTATTTTTAGAATTTTAGGGTGAAGTTAAAAACTTACGCTAGCACTTAATCAGTAGTTCTCCTGCTTAAAGGTTTGTTGTTGTTGGTTTTGCCGAATTTAGAAATGTGTGTCCAAAATTCCGTGAAGGCCTACTGTGTTGACTTTGAAGTATAAACCACAGTATTTCACTTCAGAGGATACAAGTGGAGCAATTAAATAGACCTCAGTGTTGCCTCAATCACTTGGAAACATTTGAAAGCAGCTGAGACACTAGAGGCAGAAAGATAGCTGTTGCACAGGCAGAACAACTTGGACCAAGGTAAAGACAGACTATATAAACTTTATGTAAGACAGTAGTTCCACTGACACGCCAGGATACGTACGGGTTACACGAGTGAACTAAACCTGTTAAACTCTTAGGATGAAGTGAATGAACTGACTTTGCAAGAAGACATCCCTCCATACGAGGCCTGGGGCATGGATGGCAAGACACGTGGCACCGTCTTGTTTAAGAATTAGAACACGACGATGAGGATACAGCTCCTGGCTCAGATGTCCTCAAGCTGCCTTTTGACATAAGCTACGAGGATACGTAGGTGAGGTATCACTTAGGCTTTCCCGATCCTCCTCCTGAGTTTGGGTTTGGGATTTTCTTTAAAGTGTTGACTACAAGCCATTGGTAGAGGCAGAACAGTAGCCTGAATAGAGATGCTGAGCTCATCTTTAATTTCTTACGTAATTTTTTATTATTTTGATGACAAATAATCAGGTGCATTCTTTCGCCCACAGTTCAGCAAATTACTTAAGCAAATTTATGTAACTGGACAAAAAAGAGTTGCCTTTATTGGGGCTTATGTAAAATGTGGTATCCTTGCAGAATTAGAACTATAAACTATCCATTCTGTATTGTACCCACGTACAGATTTAGATTTGTATATACTGTTTTTATATTCTAAATATCAACTGGCAGAAAACCAACAGCTGTAAAGTGTTACCCCTGCAATGAAAAATAACAAGATTTGGGTATGTCATTGTGTGCGGTGAAGCAAGTTCACTTTACCTTATTGAGCTGCCTGAAGTCAGTCTCTGTGGTATCTCCTAGTCCTCTGCAATGATGATTTCTAATGTCTTCAAGTTGCTACAGCAGCCCGTTGGAAATAAGACATGATGTACGTAACTGCCTGTGGTGCCGCATGCCTGTTGGAAGGGAAAAAACGAGGTAAGTCCTGAGAAATTCCTGAGTATGTAATCCTTGAGGAAAAAGATAAGAGTAGGTTTAAAAAAGGCCAAGGAAACAATAACCCTTTCCATGCAGCACATAGCACAGTCTAGCTGGGTAAAAGGGATCCATTTGTTAATTTTTATCAAGTTGGACAAACCACGTAAATGCCATCCGCAGCATAGGACAAGCCTTACACACATGCCTGTGCTCCACGGGGTCAGGTGTGAACTCGGGTGTCTACAGCCACAAAAAGAGAAGATGAGTGGCTTGAAGGAGTGCTCTCTGAACTGACCTTGAACATCACATTTATCGGTGGGATCACACATCACAGCATGTTGCTGTGGTGCAGAAGAATGGATGCTTGATCAAATCCTGATTTCTTCTTCCCATAACAAATTGAAATGGTTCTAGAACGTCTCTCTCCTCTCTCTTCTTTCAGGTCTAGTCATACTTACAACTGAAATTCATCGTTTCAAATGAAAAACCTATCCCTGGCTATCTTCAAGGCCAGGCCGGATGAGGCTTTGAGCAACCTGGTCTGGTGGAAGGTGTCCCTGCCCATGGCAGGGGGGTTGGAACTAGATGGTCTTTAAGGTCCCTTCCAACCCAAACCATTCCATAATTCTATGAAAAACAGTCTCTCTGAATTTCTTCTAATTGTAACATACGTGTCAACTCAATGAGTACCAAAAAAATGATTTCAATGCTAACGATGAAGCTAAATATCATCTTGACTGGTGATTTGAAACAAGGTAGAACCAGGAACAGTGTCTCTTCAAAATCGCTGAAAATACTCACAGCCATTCATAGGTCTACGAGATTGTGTTCATTTGTTGGGTTTAGCATTTACCTACAGTCGTGCGCGTCCCTTGCTGTGGTGGACTTCATCGACCTTGGATGTGGTGTGAGGCAGGGCAGCCCCACCTTCTGTTTTGGCCACACTGAGCAGCTCTTAGAGAAGCACCACAACCTCAGTGTTGACACGTAAACGTCATGTTGACATCAAATGACCACTTTCAGTTTTTCCTTTTTGTTTTCCTTGAAAACCAGATGAAAGCTGTGAAACTAAGGGAGGAGAAATGTCCCTGATACTAATTAGACCGTTCATTCTCGGTAAGATGGGTGCTTTGTTTGCAGTGGAGATGCTTCAAACCCAGATCTCGTGACTAGCAGTATTACAGCTGTGTCAGGGGACTTGTTTCCAAATAGCTGTTACTGTACCTGATGATAAATATGGTCTGAGACACAATTCTGTATTGTCATAAAGTGGAAGGAAGATCCAGCTAGCACAGATTAAAAAGGTGGATCTAGGCTGGCAGCCTGGAAATCCAGGGAAACACCCTTGTCAGTGGTTCAGGATGGGGAGACCCACACTGTCACCTGGGCACCTGGCAGACTGTACCTAGGACAGGTCTGGCTCAGCACTGCTGGCATCCCATGCAGGAACTAGAGTATGAGCCCATCTCTCCCTGTCTGCTGACGCTTCAATGACAAAGCAAGCTAAAAGCCTATGTTTGCATTAAATTATCAGGTGTACCAGAACTGTGTCTTTTAACGTTTTTACATCATCTGCTTTTATCGGTGTCTCAAGGAGTGAAGACCTGTGCCATGGCTGTAAACTAAAATAAAGACATACTCAGGGT